AAGGCCAAACAAGGAATAATGGATGGAAAGTGAACAAGGAGAGATTTAACCTGGAAATAAGGAGAAACTTTCTGACAGTGAGAACAATCAACCAATAGAACAGCTTGCCCTTGGAAGTTGTGGGAGCACCATCAGTTGAGATTTTGAAGAAGAGATTGGACTGCCATTTCTCAGAAATGGTGTAGGATCTCCCACTTGATGTCCTACAAGATCCCTTCCAACTCTGATTATCTGTTGTCTGTTATATTAAGGATATTTGTAATATCTAGTTGGGTTTCATTAAGGCATGATATCATCAAAATACGTTGAAGCTAGTTCTGAATGCGGAAGGTCAAAACGAGGGACACTGTCTCGGTTATTAGAAAGAAGAAACCTCTTTCAGTTAAAGATGAAGTCATTGGGAGTTCAAATTCAAACCAGACAGTAAATTAGGTTAAATTACATTGCTTACATTAAATTACATTGTCTACATACTTTCTGATTTTCACTAACACCTTGGTGGATCGCAAATTGCTGAATCTGATATGTCATGTCTCTGCAACCAAACAAGACAGACATAGACTTCAACGAATAATTAGAACTGCAGAAAAAACAATTGCTACCAACTTGTCTTCAACTGAGGACCTGTATCCTGCACGAGTCAAAAAGAGGGCTGTGGAAATATCTACAGACCCCTCACATCCTGGACATAAACTGTTTCAGCTCCTTCCCTCAAAACGACACTATAGAGCACTGCACACCAGAACAACTACACAAAAGGACAGTTTCCCCCCGAATGCCATCACGCTGCTAAACAACTAATTCCCATAATACTGTCAAACTACTTAGTAGGGCTGTATTCTTCTTCTTCTCATCCTTCCTATTAACTATCTCTTCCCACTTATGACTATAACTGTGTTGCTTGTATCTTTACAATTTATATTGTTTTGTTTCCTAGTATGATTTGATTGCTTATTAGTAACCTATGACTATCAATAAGTGATGTATCTTATGATACTTGATGAATGTATTTTATTTTTTCTTTGTGTACATTGAGAGCTTATTCACCAAAGACAAATTCCTTGTGTGTCCAATCACACTTAGCCAATAAAGAATTCTATTCTGTTCTGTTCTGTTCTGTTCTGTTCTGTTCTGTTCTACTCTACTCTACTCTATTCTACTCTACTCATGCTAGTTCTTGTTTTGTGCAAATGCAGAATAAATTTTTAAACATGTTTTAAAGATATTTACCCCACCCCTATACACATACACACATACACATAAAACTCAAGGTGGCCAACATATCCAACACACCATCCTCTTCTTGTTCCCCCCACAACAACAGCCCTATGAGGTGAGTTGGGATGAGAGAGAGTGACTGGCTTAAAGTCGCCCAGCTGGATTTCAAGCCTAAGGCAGGACTAGAATTCCCACTCTCCTGGTTTTTTTCAGCACCTTAATCACTGCACCAAACTAGTTCTCCATTGCTAAATAAAAGGCAAAGCGGTTCTTTCAAAAGCAGTAAATTGCTTGGAAACTGAAATGCATTATTAATGCTTAATAATATTGCATTTCCTTGTATAATTCCTTGTGCAAAATGATTGCTGTGCAATTACTTTCCTATTATATTTACAAAACTTTTTAAAACAGATCCTGGATCCCAACTTATAATTTAATTGCAAGATTAGTGAATAATGAAAAGGAAAGAACTTCAAGATGAAAGGAATAATGAAAAAAATGCGACAAATGTATTAAAATAGGATACCCTGCCTTAAAACATCAGTCAGTGAAAATTTCAGATGCAAGAAAATTTCAGTCCTAGGAATAACTTTTTTTTTAGATTTTAAGAGCTACAAACTTTTTATCACTTGACAATCACCAAATAAAATTTGAAACCATTAAAATATACATAACCCATAATAGTTTACATCCATGACACTGAAGTACAATTAATACAATAAAATGAATCTCTTATTGAAGTATTTCTAAATCAATAAATAGTTTGGTTTCTGTAGCTTAGTAGTTCTCAGATGCATTTGGTGTCTCTGATGGTGAGACTGTGTGTTTTCTACTGGGAAAATTTGCACCTACCTAAAATTTGCACCTATAGCTTGTAAATAGAGGATCAAGCTCTCACTCATTTGTGTTCCCCCATTGTTTAAACCTAGCTTTCACGGAGTACACCTCAAAAACGTAAGATGAAGAAAGAATTTGAGATCAATGCAATTTACAAAGAAGCATCCTTCAATTCAATGTTTCTCAATGTTTGCAACTTGAAGATGCACGGACTTCAATGCCCATAAATTCCTCAGGCCACCCATTGGCTGGGGAGCTCTGGATGTTAAAAGTCCACACATTTTGAAGTTGCCAATGTTGAGAAACACTGCTCTGGCCATTTTCATCTTTACATTCATCTCCTCTGTTGCTTCCTTTCCCCCGCCCCCACTATTTCAAGAATAGCCATTTCCAAACAATCCCTGTTGTATACATACTTCAAAAATGATGGTCCACATGTCGCCAAAGCACTGATCACCCAAAACATATATCCAAAATCTGAGCAAACAACCATTTGTCATTGTCGTTTTGCATGCCTTGGAACCCTAGCGAGATCCTCTCTTCTCCTAGCCTGACGCATACAACTTGTTTATGTTCAAATTCCCATTTTGTTACCTTGGCCGGATGGTCAAAGGAAAGAATAATTCTTGCGTTGAAGTCCTACACTCCAGTTTTCCAGTTTTGCTGGGTAGAGGCGTTTAGAACCAAGGGATTCTAAATCTGGGGCCACAAAGAAGATGCAGCCAAAGATGCTAAATTCAGTTTGCTCAAATTGTCCTTCAACAGTTTTTATTTAGGGCCTACAGCCAATAACATTGGATGGACAGGGTAAGTTTGGTCATGTGGGAGGAGAATAACACAAACAAGTTATATGCTTCAGGCAAGGGGAAGGCAGAGGAGGGGACAGTTACGGTCAGAGGAATCTCATGTTCAGGAAGCAGATCCCAAAATGCAAGCTCATCAGATTTTCAGCAAAGGATTATTGATACATGTTTTGCTTTTCAACCTTTCAATTGGGATCTTTGTTATTGTTGTCTTCTGATACAAGAGCAAGGATTGTTTGGCGCATGAGAT